CTAAGGTCCTGAAATCTCTTGTAATTGGGTCTGGGCCTCTCATACTTGTGTCGTCACTAGCCATTTGAAAGACCAGAAGTGGGTAGTAGTCTGAAGAACTCACAAAGTTGGGCATCTTATCTACAACATCCCTTCCCTGGGCACCAGGGAGGCAGCAGACCTCTCTATGAAGAGGGTTTGGTCTGCATATTGGGCCTTCTGCCCCTCTCAGCAGAGAGTCACCTATAACAATGACCCTTCGAGGTTTCTTCTCAGGGTCAGTTTTGATGGGTGGCCTGAGGCAACCTCCCTTTGGTGCAGCTTCTGGCCCTTCTGATTCATCATCCTTACTGACTACCTGATCCTCCTGCAGAACCTCATCCCTATTCTGCAGGTGCACTGTAGGCACTGCACTGTTTGAAGTAGTGTGCTTGCCCCGCTTGCTTTTCTTCCGTCGAGCAGGGACCTGTTCCCATTGACCCTGCTCATCTGGGTTGTTATTTGGAGGCTGAGGGGCTTGCTGTTGGGATGATATTGAACCCCCTGCTCCACTAGAACTTGACTCCTGTTCTGGTTCCATAGAGAATACATTGTGGACATGCTCAATTTCCCTTTCACAGTTTCTTGCAGTTCTTAGTTTCTCCACTTCTTAATTCCACCAGCATGAGCATCAGATCTCTGATCTGCTCACATCTATGCAAGTACTTAAACTATAATAAGGTAGATTCTCTGCTTATCATGAGAATCATAAAATATATCAGTGAGATGAAGCCAGACCAAATAGACAGATAAGTAAGAACAGCAAATTTACAATTGCCTAGCACAGATAAGCAACTTGATATTTGTAGTTGGCCTCACTCAATATTAATGGCATGGTGAAAAAGGTAAACATCTGCATATCTATCATAATTACCTCTAGATTTTTAGCAAGAAGCCAAGTGGATTAGAATAATGAGTTTTCAATTATCTTTTCAGTACACATATTTCTAGATATTTGCTTTCTTTTTTTCTCAAGCTGTTGAGGTAGAAGCCCAGCTCTTGTTTTTCAGTTTCCCAGCTGTCAATAAAATCACATCTTAAACAATGTTATTTTTCACCACTGTCTATAAGTCATCGTCCCTCCCTCAGGAGGGAGATGCAGGACATGATAGAAAATTTGGTCTCTTACATTACAAAAGCTAATTAACTAGCTTAGGGTTCAGGGAGTCCTCAAAGCACTGAGGAAACAGCTCCTGATCTTGTACATCATCCAAGAAAGTTTTAGAGCAATTTTATCAGCCAGCCAACACCAGGACTGGAGCATGCCCTATGGCAAGAGCAGAAAAGCTATAACCAGCCCTAAACCTCACCTGAGGTGATACAATGTACAGGAGAGAAAGATCAGCTTAGGCCTTTTGGGCTTGGTTCTGAGCTGTCTCATCTAGTTGAAGATTTCTCTGCTCCTTGCAGGGAGGCTGAACTACACAACCTTTAGAAGTCTCTTCCAACCCAAATCCTTATACAATTCTAGGAATATACATACAAAGATCTTCTGAGGCACCAGGGACAAATCCAGCCATGGATTCATAAAGCTCTTCATCGGAGCCAGGATTCAAGGAACATTTCATTAATATATCAGTAGACAGGTGAGCCATGGACTCATAAACAGACTCATCCTCCTCGCCTTGCATCAGCTCTTCCTTAATATGGCTCTTCAGCATATCTGCAGTTTCCTGGAGGATGGAGGCCAAAGGAAAAAAAAAAAATGTTCAGGTCTTACTTAAGAAACCTAGAATATCAAAGTAAGCAACAGATATCTCACTCTCTCACCACTGATGCAAAAAAACTTCTAAAAGCAGCCCATTCCCAAAGACTAGGGCTTGGCAAAGGAACTAAACCCCCACTGTCTGGGCCCAGTCTTCAAAATTCGTTGTAACTATAGGCAATGAAGGTGAAACAAGTTGGTGCTGACACCTGCATAGCCATTACAACCTCTCGCCTCCTCAATTTCATTTCCTACTTGATGTCTGCAAACTCCTAGAACACGTGCAAAGGTCATTCTAAAAATACAAACGTTTGCCAAAAGGCTACTTTGGGTTAAGTGTAGCTGCCCATACGGGAGAAATCTTGCCACATGCAGAGCATTTACAAGAAAGCAAAATTTTAGTTCTGGTGTAGATTCAGTTTCAGTTTCTTGGCATTAGCAGCAGCACCCAACACCCAGAGTGGGAGTACACAGACCCTTTTCTGTGAGATTAACAGGAAACCTCACAGCAGGCAGCTGGTCATACAAGCAACTTTCGATTCACAGGATAGCAGGATCCTTTCTCACATATTTGCAGCCTGGGGTAGAGGGGGAGGGCAGTGCAGATTTTCACCAAACCACAAAAGGGAGCAAAGTGTAAAGCTTCATCCCCACCTCCTCCCCAGGTTCCAACTAGATCACAAGCACAGCCATCTTAACTGTTGCAGTACTACACGATACTCTTCCACCCACAACCACCACCTCACAGGCCTTCAATCTACAGGGCATGCGTGTCAAAACTGTCTACACATGCTTCCTTCCACAGTCAAAACCAACCTGACAGGTAGCTCCAATGTGATGCTTCAGGAAGGTGCAGAGGAACTTTTGCCAGACAGAAAGTTAGGTGAGTAAAGGGGTTTATTGGGATTTTCAGAGATCCATGTTAGTAGTGCTGCTAGTCACTAACTCTACAGCGGACACGCTGGTGCAGATCATTTGTGTGCTCTGGTACTAAGCTGCACTGACAGCTTGATGATCATCAGACAGGCCTTACTGATACTTATTCTCTTAACCCAGCTGTCACTGGTGGAGAAAGGAGGGCATGGGAGGAGTGTGGTACTGCAGGAAGAGGTTGGATGCACTTCCTGAACATCTCTCACTGACACCAGTGAAAAGACTTTCATCACACAGTTTCCGCAGCCTTCTTGATCCCAGAACAGGGAATGGCCTTTATTTAGCTATAGCATATAACCTTAAATTCATGCTTTTGCCAAGAAACAAGCCCCAAGTCTAAAAACCAATTATGCCTTCAAAATAGGGCTTAAACAGTACTGTAATTGGCTGGCAGAACCACATTAAGGCTGACAGATCTATCACCAACCATTCAGACAACTGTTAGGGACAGTTATGAACAACATTTCAACTGGTAGCAAAGACAACTAAAATCTGCTCAAGAATTCATGTGATCTGAGTCAGGAAGCCACTGGTTATTTTGAAGCATACATGCTGGAAACAGCTCAAATGGAAAAGAAAGGATAAACCCCACTCACACTCATAGACCCCACAGAAACAATTGACTGGTACAGCTGGAGTCAGGTCCATGCCATGATCTGGAGAAGTCAAGACTGATGTTCTCTGGGGATGGGGTTAGCTCAAAGAACTGAAATGTGAATCAGGCTTTCAGAAAGAACAAGGAGGGAACAGACAGCTACCCTAATGCAGAAAGAGACTGATTACAAGTGGAACAGGTAGACTACATAGATCAGCTGTGAACAAGCTAACAAGCAATCCAGACCATACTACAGCTAATCAGAGAGCTCCACAAGTTGCACCTTTCCAAACATATTCTGTTCCCATATTATTCCCTGAAGTAAGTGGGATGAAGGGTCTATAATTCTCCCAAGAGGTTAAAACACTACACCAGTCACCAACCACATGCCTGCAGAAAACTTCATTAGATGGATGGATTATGAGGAAACCCAGCACAGCAGTCTCTGCTTCCATCTTATTTGCTCTGTGCAAAAACCCCAAGAACTTCCCCAGCTCCAGAGGTGCACCCAGCCCTCCAGCATGGACACTTTCAGTGTGGCTGGCTGGCTTCTACACCCTATCACACCACACTGCACCCCCTATTACTCTGTCTAGTGCCAAGCTTGGTGCCCCTGCCCACAGCTGCAGGACTGCTGCTTCCTCTTACCACATATTCATCGATGAACTGGCGGAGGTCCTTAAAGCCATGCTTCTCTGCTATGGTGTTTGGATAGTGGCCATACTTGTTGGCTACACTGTAGGCCTGGAGTGCTCCAGGGCAGGTGAGCAGCAAGGCAGTGAGGTTCTTCAGACCGTATCTTGCAGAAAAGTGAAGCAGCGTTGGCAGCTCCTCATCCCTCTGATCTGTGAGAACAGGAACCTGTTAGAATCTAAACTTCTCTCTAGCAGCAACAGCACCAGTAGGTGAGAAACAAAATTCCTAGCAAACACAGACCCAAGCAGGTGTGAAAGCCCTGAAAAGTATTATACAGCTTAAAAATGGAGCAAACTCTACCGAAATTAACTGAGGTATCTAGTGCATCTCCAGACTTAAGTCCTATGACCTTTAGTTGGGAATCTGGCACTGCAATAGCTTAACATATGTAGGATCACATGTAGGCAAGGACCTCTGAGATCATCATTCCAGTAGGATCCAGCTGCTGCAAGGCAACCATGTCACAGTGCCACATCAACGGCCGAGTGCACCTTAGAGTAGAATCATGGTGCAGGCAAAAAAGGAGAAATGCCACAGGGGACTGGGAGAAGTACAAGGGAGGAAAAAAAAAAAAGACATTTTGGGCATCATCTTTTCACTTTGGTTGTGTTTGAAGCAGTCTATATAGCTGCATCTGTTGCAAAGCAAGGAAGTGAGACTGATACATGTAATAAAAAAAGGTCACCTGATCCAAATGACAATCCTCCTTCCATAGGCATGATCAGAAATCTAACTTACTGGCTGAGATCCAAGATTTTTCAAACAGCCTGTGCAGGCACCACACACTTCCAAGGTAAAATAAGCAATACAGATGAATCTTAAAAAGAAAACAAATCTTTCAACTTACTTGTTGTCATATCTTCTTCTTCCAGCTGGTTGATTCCAAACAGGTGTAAGCCACTGGCAGGAATGTTCTTTTTGAGTGACTCAGTCAACAGTTTGTCTAGTGCTTCTATGCTGTATGGTACAATTTTAAAGGCCTAAAGATAAATGGAAAGTGATTTTATTTGTAGGAGCATGGAGATTCAGTTAAGGCAAGATTTATAAGGTGTTTCATTATTCAGCACATACCAAAAAACAGTAGGTATAAAAACTGAAGGTAGCAATGTTCAGGTCAAGCACATAGCTTGAATAGCTTCCTGGTCCAGAAACAGAGTAATGTTAATCTGAGTATACAAGAAGCACACACCCCACAAGAAGACAGGACAATGAGAAAGTCACTCATACAACTGGAAGCAGAGGAAGCTTACTTCCTACTTCCTTCGCTGGTATAATCTTGCTCCTGAAACTGCTCCAATCAAGTGTCACTCCCTCTCCAAATATAAAGTAGTCCATTTTGATCTGCTTTGGTGTATACTCTGGGTTTGGCATTTGGACTGGTTCTTAGCCAAAGACTGGGAAGGGAAGCACACCTATTCCCCAAGCAGAGGCACAGCCCAGTACCAACTGCTCCATGATCTGAACTACAAAGAAAGGGAAAGACAGTGTCCCCTGCCCCAGGTATGCTGGTGACTAACAACATTACTCTATAAGCTTCTACTGCAGGGCTGATCAGGGACATAGAGGCAGGCAGCAAAAGACAAGCTATCTAGAGAATATGGTTGCACAAGCTTTACCCTTTTAACAGGGTTTAGGTAGCCTAACCTTACAAAATATGAGAACTAAAGAGCTGTTTTAAAAAAAAAAAATGAGTGCTAAGAATAAACAAATCACTTTGTGTTACTCCATTCAGCTAGTATGAATCTTTGTTGCCTTTTCACAACTTTTCAAAGAAGCCTTAGATACAAATTCCCAAACTACTTCTTCAGGGTACCTTCTGCTATATCAACTTCTGTCATCCCAATCTTTTCAAGCCATCAAGGTCTATTTGCAAGTGTTGATTGATGGCTTTTTGTTTGCTTTGTTAGGTAGCTGGATAGCCTCAGTCACCTCAGCCAGCTATTTGCTCCAGAGACAGAAAAATTACCCAGGCTTTCAGCACCCATGCTTAACAAAGGAATGTCAAGGTTATGTGAAAATCCCTAAATAACTTTGCATTTCTTCATTTTAGAAGATCCAGTTTCCAAAGCAGCCATTTCCTAGGTTCATTACCTGGCACATGAACTGTACTGGGCTGGCTGCATTAGCCAACAGACTGCTGATCTCCTCCATGTCGGTATGATAGGTGATGCTTGCTTCTCCCACTATCAAGTCCCCTGAATATATGTGCAGAGGCACTGTCCCAGAGGTTAAATCTTTGAAAAGAGAGAGAGGAAATTGATGTTAACAACAAACAATGGGAATGAGTCCACATGAAATACCCTGAGGGTAGGAGGAGTTTGGTGATACTGCCAGCAGGATACCAAAACAGTTCTGGTTTATTGAATTCATGAAGAGTCATGGAAAAAAAAGATTGCTGGTCTGAACATTAGGTAGGAAAGTACTTTGGAATGATATCCAAAGGTCAATGCACATCACCTGTGACCTGATAGGTCCTCTGCTAACAGCAGTCTGGACCACTAATGTTAACAGTATACCACCTCAAGCTAGAAAGCCTCACATCTCTCCACCCCTAGCTTTCTCTGAAGCAGTCTCTAAACTGTGCTGTAAAACACCAGAGCTAGGGAAAAGGAAGAGATATAACACAAAAGTCACTAGGGATTTTGCAGCCTCTGTCAGATTCACTAGTGTCTGAACAAAATCAGCTTAAAAGAATTCTACATTTGCAACTTTTCCTATGCACAGGATCTATTTCCTCCCTGCACCTTGGGAGCTTCTTGATGTTTTGTCCAGCGTGCATTCCTAAGTCTGAACTTTCTCTTTGAAACACAAATGTTTTGAATACC